TCAACATGGGTTTACTGTCAGCTGTTCTACAACCACCAATCTGCTGTGTCGCACATCGTATATAACCGAAAGCATGTCGGATCGGGTTCAAACGGACGTTATTTATTCAGACCTATCCGCAGCATTCGACAAGTTGAACCATGCTATTGCGATTGCTAAACTCGGCAGGCTCGGTGTATGCGGTAATCTTCTGAGTTGGTTTCGATCATATCTTACCGGTCGCTAACTAAAGGTTGACATAGTAGATTACAGATCAGCTAGCTTCTTCGCCACATCAGGTATACCTCAGGGAAGCCACATGGGACCGTTGATTTTTATACTGTACTTCAACGACGTGCATCTGGTCGTCAAAGTTCCTCGGTTATCATATGCAGATAGCCTCAAAATCTTCTTACGAATCCGCTCCATTGTTGACTGTCACTTTTTCAACGTCAGCTGTGCAGTTTAAACAGAATGGTAGTGAACCCAGCCAAAAAACAATATCCGATAATATTAAATTAGAACCAGCTTGGCTCGACAATCGAATGCGTGAATCAGGTGAAAGACTTGGGTGTGATCTTGGATTCGCAGCTATCATTCAAGCAACACATTGCACATGTTGTCCATAAGGCGTCAACAACTTTAGGGTTCATTTTTAGGACAGTTAAAAACTTCACCGATATCTACTGTCTAAAATCTCTCTATTGTTCGTTTGTTCGATCGACGCTTGAGTATTGTTCAGCGGTTTGGAACCCAAACTACAACAACGGTGCCGAGAGAATTGAATCTGTTCAACGTCGCTTTCTTCGTTTTGCGTTGCGTAGATTGCTTTGGAATGACCCGTTTCGATTACCCAGTTACGAAAGCCGTTGCCAACCTATCGACCTAGAACTTCTCCGGACTATTTTGTTTATTTGTTATGGTTGCATGAACAGACTAGAAATAGTCCCAATGATGTGTTGTAAAAAAAGTACAGATTATACAGACGACATACATATACTACAGTTACTACAGTTACAAACGAAAATAACTAGGAAAGCATTGTCAAGTTACTAAAAATTTATAAGTCTTAAATTTTACACTTAGCTGTTGGGCATCAAGCGCCTTCGGTCAGCAGAATAGGCAGAGAATCTTCGGCGAAGCATATTCCGTGTCAAGTGGAAATCGAACATCGACGATACTCGGTTGAACACTAGCTGCAAGCCGTAAATAGTGCTCCCTATGCTATAATTAGTTCGAAGAAGTGGAAGTCTCAGCATAAGACTGTTGCGTAGTGATCTAGGTTGAACATTAATGTTCACTTGTTGCAGAATTGCTTCGCAGTCGATTCTTCCTTGCAGAGTATCGGCGACGGTTAAAGGCTCTGAAAACATCTCTTCGGATATGTAAGGGCTCGATATTGATCAATTGGCAGCGATTCTCGTAGCTTGGAAGACGAAGTGGGTATCTCCAAGGCAGCTTACGGAGCGCGAAGCGAAGAAAACGTCGTTAAACAGATTCAATTCGCTCGGCCCCATTATTGTAGTTCGGGCTCCAGACAGCAGAGCAGTATTCCAACGTAGATCGTACGAGAGAGCAATAGAGCGATTTCAAGCAGTAAATGTCCGTGAAGTTCTTAGTAATCTTGAAGACAAAGCCAGAACGCTTTGTCGACGACATACGATATATGGTGTGAGTTTGTCAGCTTTGAGTCTAGAAAAACGCCTAAGTCTTTCACGCAGTGCACCCGTTCGATAGTCGTGCCTAGTAGTTTGTAGTTGAAAATAATCGGTTGTTTCTTGCGTGAGAAAGTAATAACTGTACACTTAGCTGGGTTGACCACCAGTCGGTTTAGACTACACCAGTCAGCAAAGATGTCAATCTGATTTTGGAGAGAACGGCAGTCGGCGAGTGAGCGGATGCGCAGAAAAACTTTCAGATCGTCTGCAAACGATAATCGTGGCTCTGTGATAACATGGTGAACGTCGTCGAAGGAGAGGAGAAATACCAATGGTCCCAGATGGCTGCCCTGAGGTATGCCGGATTTTGCGCAGAAGCTTGCTGAGCGACAAGTACCCAAAGTTACTGTCAATTGGCGCTCCGTGAGGTATGAACGAAACCATCTCAAAAGATTTCCACCGATCCCTAGCCTATCAAGCTTAGCGATCGCAATTTCGTGCTTCAGCTTATCGAAGGTTGCCGTAAGATCTGTGTAGATAACGTCCGTTTGGGTCCGAGCAATCAAACTATCTGTGATGTAAGACAGCAGGTTCGTAGTTGTGGAACGCCCAGTTATGAATCCGTGTTGATCTGTACTTAGATATTGCTTGTAATGCGCATTTAGGGACTCTATGACAACCAATTCAAAAATTTTTGATACAGCACTCAGCGACGTGATTCCCCGGTAGTTGTTTACGTCGCGTTTGCTTCCCTTTTTATGAACAAGAAACATATCCGCAGTCTTCCAGCAAGACGGAAAGATGCCGCTGGAAAGAGACAGCTGGATTATGCGGCGCAGTGGATCTAAAAGACAAGTGATTTTCTTTTTAAGAATAATCGACGGAACACCATCGGGTCCAGCCTTAGTTGAAGTCTTAAGTTTAGATGCTGCTCTAGAAATCGTATCTGTAGTGGCTTCGACCATGCTGAGCGTTTGGTTGATCAAAGGAACATTACTGGCCGCGGAAGTAATGATATTAGCGGAGAGTTGCTCGGCTTCAAACACACTAGCAAATTTGGCTGAGAACAGGTTGCAAATGTCTTGTTGATTTCCAGCAGTTTCACCATTAAAAATCATGGAAGAGGGTAAGCCGACTTCCCTGCGTTGCTCATTTACGAAGTTCCAGAAGGATTTCGGGTGTGATTTTAGCCGCCGTTGAATCCTCCTTTGATAGCGTTGAAAACAGAGACGACTTAACCGCTTATACTCGTGGTTGAGTCTGACATAGTAGCATTTCAGTGGCAGTGTGCGGAGTTTAGTAAATCTTCTGAGAGCAGCCTTCTTAGTTCTTTTCAACGAGCGAAGATCTTTCGTCATCCACGGGACGCGAGAGTCGATATGGATGATCTTTTTGGAAACGTGTCTGTCAATGACATATGCCAAGACGTGAGAAAAGGTTTGTGCAGAAATGTTGACGTCTACAGGATCTAGAATATGCTCCCAATCTAGGTTAGACAGCACATGGACGATACTGCAATGGTCAGCTCTACGGAAGTCATATGACACAGCGTTTGGAGTGCTGGTGAAATCATGGACAATATTATTTTCGATCACGATAACTAAAGCAGGGTGATGATGCACTACCTTGACTAAAGGTTCGGGTGCCGTGGAGAGGAAAGGAGCTGTATCACGAGCACTCACAAAGCAGAGATCCAGGGTGCGGTTGTTTTCATTCAACAGGCCATTGATTTGTGACAGAATTGCGGTACTATAACTGTCCAGGAGCTGGATGGTTCCTACGTGGAAAGATGAACGCTCGTGACTAGAAGAGATACAAGTAGAGCCCTAACCGTATCCGATATCCTGCAAGGAAGGACAGATTGCGAGGCTATCATGAGGCAACTTGACCTGAATGTTCAACTCCGACCGCTTCGTAACAACCTTAAGCTAAGACATCTCAAACTTTTCGTTCATTGCCTTTCAGTCTTTTTCCAAACTGAGCTGCGAAACAGTTCGATAGCTATTCTTATAGAAAATTTTCTCAGCTACAACTTTGCTGAAGATCGTTTCTATGTAAAACGAGACAGGAAAAAGTTATTAATTATTTAAGAGATTGGTAAACTTATGACATGATCAAGCAGCTGCTCTGTAGGCAACACTGTATTTTGCAGTGTGACATAGTAGCCATAATTTTTGTGTCCTATTCAACACCCCAGAAACGCCAATGTTGCCTGCTGAGCAGTTGATTGAGCATGATCATAAGACATCAGTGCATTGAACCATTAATAACTTTCGATCCTTGCATTTAATCAAAAAGTGGTCTTTAGCAAAGTTGTAGCTGAGAAAATTTCCTACAAGTAAAATTGAAAGCTTTTGAAGCAGACCGATATGGTGAATTATTAGATAGACATGAACAAAAATCTTGGTTTTACCATAGTAATTCCCATACAAACTTCAAATGGTTTGTGCCATTTCAGTTTCTCACCAAATGGGTTCAAATTTTGAGAGGTTAGTCAGGATCCGATTTGGAATCGTTTAAGTATTGTGGAGCGAAAATTTCAAATTTTGCATCACTCTAATGACCATGCTTGAATGTATTTATAGTTGATAAGGTTAACATCATTAGGGCTTCATCCAGCCTGTGGATGTAAAACAACAATAAACACAATCAGCGATTTTACGAAATCTGAAAGCGAAATTGACAGGTTTCAAATGTCAAATGTATGTAGTCATACATACTTTACAACCTCTTTTTTTTAACTTACAAGCACAAAACATCATAATAACATCTAATGAATTTATAATTCCGTAAAACTTGTTTTTTATAGTAAGTGAGTGGAAGCAACCCTGGTCATAATTGGTACACCTCCCCTACCTCATTACTTTTCCAAAGTAATATGGTACATCGACATGCTCTAGACAAAGAACTCGGACATATCATGTGTTGGTCGCAGTGATTATGACCGAAAGAAAGGGGTCAATACCTATGGAGATCTTCTCGGAAATTTGCTTGGAATTCAGATCACAGCTTATTTGAAATACTAATTAAAATTGGTCCTGGAACCCTCCTCACAATAGTCATGAAATTCTCCTCAGAATTACGGTAAAGAATGGAAGCTGTTTACTAAGACGAACATTCCCTCGACTTGAACGAAGAATGAACAGATTCCAATAAAATCGTGGTGATCTTGAACGATTCCTCCAGATTACGGAATACATACTTGGCATAGAACTTGTCAGTCGTCAGTAATAAAATCACATTGCTTTCTAGAATACTGGTCCAGCTGATAAGCAGGGAATGTGAAACTTGACTAACGGACTGCTGATGATGATGTCGGTTGAATCATAAGAATTCATTGGAATAAAGGCGGAAAACACTCACCGGCATCCTGATAGGTGACGTTCAACTGCAGGGCCATCTGGGTCAGCACGCAGGTCTGATTGGTGGTAGCATTGGTGTAGGTCCAGCTGCCTACTTCGGGCTCTGGCACCGGCGTTGGCTTCGGAGGCTCAGTAGTGCTAGTTGTTGTAGGCGCAGCAGTAGTTGTCGGTGCGAGTGTTGTAGTAGTTGGTGGTGGCTCTGTTGTACTTGTAGATGTCGATGGGCTAGCAGTCGTCGTTGTTGTTGTTGTTGTTGTTGCAGGAGGTTCGCTCGTTGTCGTTGTGCTGTCTGGGATAGGGGCAGGAGTATCTGGATCATTTTGAGCTGCCGGGGAAAAGGAAAACAAAACGAAAAAAAAATGAATCAGCGTTAGTATATTTTGTTTTGCTTGCTGCTATTAGCGACTCAGGTTTCGTATTCAAAAATTGTATACAATTTGACTCAGACAAAGTGAGATGCTGGTGCTGCTGACATAAGCGAGTTCTCTGGTTATCGCACTTCCAGTAGAGCACTGATTATTTATATTATAGCTACTTAGCCGATAGGCATTTCATCTCGACACAAAGCCAGTAAAGTTAAACACAGATAACGACGTTGTTGGGAGCTATTTCAGATTAAGCCATGTGTCATCAAGCACGGGCATGGGCACTGGAATGGAATAGTTTGCCTCCCACGTTATAGCTGAAATAAGTGCAATCACTTCCTGCTTGTCCAAAGTGTTGGTTGCAACTGTTGTTGGGGAAATGAAATTTGGTTACAAAACACAACATAATAATAGACAAATTTGATCGAAGCCCCGCAATTGACCGTCACCTTGACAAACGAATATTGGGCAATGCAAAAAAAGACCGAAACTGTAGCAATTATTTGCCACTGCGCCATCCTCCGTGTCTAGTTCGAGCTTCATTTTTCGCGGTAGATCGCATATGCACCACGGTATAGTGGATAAATTAATCGATTATCAGTTGCCTGTATATACTACCCGGATATGGAACAGAATAGTTAGATAAGAAATAAATCAGGATTGCGAAGGTCATCGAAAATTTGTAATGTTTTGCGTCACATCTAGCCTAATATTGAAACAAGGGCTGTGAGCTGCAAATCCTTTGCTTCGTAAAGTGTGTCAGTTTTTTTTTTGCAGAGCGGGGTGACAAATCATATTTATTCGCTCGACAGAAGCAAAATAAAAGAAAAATGGCAATGCTCTGCGTGCGAGTTGATAACGGAGCAAATATGTAGGTAAACTCTGTTACTAACGTCGTATGTAGTATATATGTAGTGAGAAGGTACATGTATATAATCGTCACTTTCTGTTGCTTGAAATGAGTAATGCACGAGGTTTACTGTTGGATATACACATTTAGATTATAGGTTGACAGTGAGGCGCAAATACGCAACAACGTTGCTGTATCACAAGCAGAAAATCAAACCTACGAGATAGTGTAGGATTGGGTAAAAAATCAGAACCCTCTATTTTGACTCAAAAAATTCACTGCTTTGCTCGATTGGAACAACTTTTTTCAGTATTCTGGTTTCAGTCGTCCATACGTTTACTACAACGCTTTAGTAAAAAAAATCCAATGCGGGGATTTTTTGCAATTTGCAACTGGAATCAAGTATGGCTTTTAAGAAAGTTATATCTTCAGCAAACCGGTTTCTATCATTTATGCGGTTTTCTCAATTTTGTTGAACTTTATCACGAAGTATGGGCAGATGTGCGATGTTTGGATTTTCATAGAGCTTCTTACACACTCAGAATTTATTGTCGTGTTCGGTGATTGTTTACTGACCGTTCGATAAAACGCTCAAATATAATGTCAATGCGGAGAGGGGTGACAGTTTCTTACGGAAAAATTAATGGTAAGAAGAAAATAATTTTTATCTATACCGCTTATATTGCAAAAACCTGCACTGCCTATAATCGCATATCAGTCCCATATGGATTTTCGTCAATTTTGAGATAACAACGCTATCCACTATCAATTCTACTATTCATATTATGTGATAAAACTATGGACTTTGATCATGAAACAAATGAAAACGACATCAAGTCAGTTTGTCCCATCAAGCAAAGTAATCGCATATCAGTCCCATCCTGAACTTCAATCGTCCATAGTTCAAGTTAAAGTTCTCAATAAATTTACTATGATTTTTCAAATATTTACATGAGAATTGCGCTTCGTAACTTCGACTGCCATTTTCTCAACGCCTACTTTTTCCATATGGGACTAATATGCAATTATAGCCAGTGCATGCATTGGGTAGGTAGAAAATTTTACTAGAGGGGCCAGTGGCATTTCTTTTGTTTTGTCAAAATACGGTTAAATATAAACTCTGGAACTGCCATTCAACCAAAAGTCGTCAAGGCTATTTGTTATTTTGTTTTCCTGTTGGATAGGGGTAGGCGGGGCATAGTGAACAGGTGGAGTATAATGTGCACCCTGTATTTTAGCCATAAATTTCTAATTATTCAAAATAGAAAATAAAATAGATTAATTCAATACCGTCACTGCAATTAATTTCAAGAGAATTATTGTATGACACGCATTTAAACTTTGAAAAATGTCGTAAAATGTGTAAGTTAGGCATATATGTAAGCAGAGCGTGGAATAGAAACAACTGATCGCTAAGGATTGTAACAGTGGAATGAATAAATTTTTATTAACCGTTCTTTACAGGCTACTTTGATAGGTTTAGGTTTCAGCTGGTTGCTCCTCGAACTACACAGGTAGCACACCAGCCGATGTTCGATGTTTTGATATCTTGAGTTTGTTCAATGGTTTGGTGAGCATGTCGACAACCATATACTCCGTTGAACAGTAGATTACGGACAGCATGCCTTGTTGAACAAGATCCTTGGTGAACTAGAACTTGGTGTCAACGTGTTTGTTTGGACCGGCGTTCCAGTTTCTCCGAGTCCAACTGTCGGATGGCACTCTGGTTGTCCTCGAGTAGCAGGATTTGAGTTTCCGGCTCGTGGAAATCCTTCATCAGCTTTCGAATCCAGAGAAGTTCTTGACATGCGTCTGCAGCAGTAATAAACTCAGCCTCCGTTGAAGATAGGGCAACGCAGGTTTGCTTCCTTGCCGCCCAACTGATCGCACCTCCACCGAACATAATCAGAAAACCGCTATTGGATTTACGGTCCCGATGGTCCCGATGATGCATCCGCTTAAGCCTTCATGTCAACATTCTTGCCGCCCAAATGCAATCGAAAATTCTTTGTCGCCCGGAGATACCGCATAGTGCGCTTTGCTTCAGTCCAATCTGCTGCATTCGGGGCACTCACCTTTCGCCCAAGTAACGAAACGCTGATCGCTATCGCTACATCTGACCTCGTATTGATCGCTATGTAGAGCAAACCACCAACCAAACTGGAGTGCGAAGTATTGTTTGGTAGCTTGCTGGACTCCTCCTCCTTTGCTCTCCACCTGTATGCCCAGGTACTGCCGCACATCGCCAAGGGTTTTGAACTTCCTCTATAATGCTTTCAGGATCGCTCCATATTCCGCATATCGTCGACGTACAGAAGGATGAAAGCTTGCTTCTCACCCTTGGTTCTTACGTATAGGCACGCATCAGCAGTTGATTGTAGAAATCCCAGCTTCTTGAAGCAATCGTCAATCGTCTGGTTCCAAATTGGACCGGATTGCTTCAGACCGTAGAGGCTTTTCTTCAAATGGCAAACTTCTGCGGGACTCCCAGTCTCGTATCCTTTCGGTTGACGCATGTATACAGCCTCGGTAAGCGTCCCATATAGGTAGGCCGTCTTGACATCGACGTCTTTCACTAGAAGTTGACGACGGGTGGCAAAGAACGAAATGTTACCTGTTTTGCCACCGGAGCGAACACCAATTGAGCTGTTAAATAGCGGAACCAATCGAGCAAATCACGACGACCAACAGAAAACAGCACATCAGCTATTGCGAACCAAATTTCGGAAACCGGTTTCTCGTGACTCAAGGCTCGCCTACACAAACTAACACCATCTTTAGGTTGTGGAACGCTTCCCCTATCCGATGATGTTGGTAATTAATCTTCGATTGGCGAGGAAATAATAATCAACGTTTTGTTTATAAAAGTTGGTAATACCGTTTCAATTGTTGGTCTACAATATATTGAATTGGTTCAGCTCTTTGATAGATCGAAATTCTTTTTTTTTTCCTTTGGTTTGTTTTTTTCCGTCGATCTTGTTTTCCGTGCTGAGCACCAATGCTACCGACGTGCCAGGAAGGCAGCTCCCACACCTGGACCCTACCTATCGACCCATCAACTCATGAACCGGGGACCAACGGCTTTACTTCCCATCCGAAGGAAGGCGTGATCAGAGATGTTATGCCTCAGAACATTCCGGCGGCGCCGACTGGGATTGAACCCAGGCCTGCTGGGGTGAGAGGTAATTACGCTTACCACTACACCAGATCGGAATTCTATCCGCCAGACTATGAATATAGCGACTATACTACCCATAATCGCATATCAGTCCCATCTTTGCATGATTTCATATCCATATGGGACTGATATGCGATTATGGGCAGTATAGTAGTCAGTGCCGAACTTCTGACTAAAACCTTGTGCGACCAGTCTCGCCTTGTAGCGTGTCACGTTTCCATGCTCGTCCAATTTCCGCTTGTACAGCCATATGCAGCCACCCGCCTTTCGTCCATCTGGATCTCTTCTTCCATCGCAGCTATCCACGATTCGCTCTCTTGTCCACTTACTGCTTCTTCATACGTCCTCGGTTCAGTAGCTGCTGCCATGTTGCTTGCTTCATGGTACCGCTGTGGGGCGACACCTTTGTTGGACCGCTCTGATCTTCGTACGATGGTTTCATCCAAATCTTCATGAAGGGACTCGTCGCAAGAATCGAAGTCCGTGTCGGTTAGGTCCGACCTTTCATCGTCATTTTCTTCGTCAATCTCTAGATCGTTTGGATCCGGAACTTCTTGATTTGCTTCAGCCATAGGAGGTAACGGCTGTAGAATTTCCTCGTACGGCTCCTCCTCCAGATAAGGAACATCGGTACCGGGTACCGTACTTCTCCTCAAAGAAACGAACGTCTCGACTGATTATCAGCTTGTTAGTGGCCATATCAATGAATCTGTATGAATTGTGGTTACTGGAATACCCGACGAACGTCATCTCCTTCGACTTATCATGGAGTTTGCCTCACTTTTCCTTCGGCACATAGACAAATGCTCTGCACCCAAACACTTTCAGATGTGAAACGTTCAGTTTATGTCCACACCAAAGCTCGTATGGTGTGATCTCCATAGCGCGAGTGGGGGTGGATTCCATGCTTGCGGTAGAACTCCAGCAGTACTTCGCTCGAATACTCCCCTCCCCGATCAGACCTGATGCGCTTGGGGTACTTCCCGAACTACGTGTGGACATAATTACAGTATTCCACTATGCGTTCTGCGACCTCGGATTAGGAGGGTGTCTCCAGTTGTCCATACACGTCCGAGTAGATGAAGTCTAATGGTGCGGAGGTCTTGGGGAAGGGAGTTCGAGCCTGCTTTCCTTTCACACAGCGTTTGCAATCTTCACATATTCCGCAACCTACAACTTTCATACCGGTAACAAGTTTCTTTTTCAGCAGACCATCCAATGCATGAGCTTCCCGGTGTCCAAACCGTCGTTGCCATTTGTGCTGGCAATCTCGCTTGTGAGATGCAGTTACCCTCGCGGCGACTGCTTGTTCTTGCTTATTCAGCCGGTATAATCCTCTGCAATTTCCTTCCCATCGACGATGATTTTGCACTTCACGTCATCGAATTCAACCTTCGCCTTTCAAGTTGTCAAAGTAAGCACAGACAAAAGACTTGCTGACAGCTTTGGCACAAACAAAACGTGGTTGAGACGAATTTTATTCGTGCTTCCAGAACCGTCCACACATTCGATCACACCAGTTTCAGTACCAGCGACCGCTACTACACACCCGTCAGCCAACTCCACTTCGCCTGTAGCCGGTTCTAACTCCTCGAAGAAATCCCTGTTAGAAGTCATGTGCGTTCATCGTTCGCCGTGTCGCCAGTTCAGTACATGTTGCTGTAGCCTCCATCCCGCGCGGTCTTCGCCTTCTGTTTCTTCGATCGCGTAGCTGCTTGCAGTCCCGTTGTTTGTTGCCAGGCTTCTCGCAGAAATGACACACACTCGGCTTTCGTCCCGCTGCTTTCAATGCCGTCCCTTCGGTTGCGTTACGATTTTGCTTGCTTACCTCGTCCAGTAGCTTGTCCCGGATCAGGTTCAGCGTCAAGGCATCATCCGTACGTGTTTCGAGGGCAGTCGTCAATGCGTTGAATGATTTCGACAATCCTCACAAGATAAAGGCCACCATGGTATCCTCTCCCAGGTCCTTTCCTGAGCTGCACAGCTTCGTGTACAGATCGTTCATCTTCGTGAGGTAATCGTCCATATCCTCACCTTCCGTGTACCGGGTTTCAGACACCCGTTGTAGTAACAAAACCCTAGTGGACAAGGTTGCCTTTTGATGATACATGGCCAACGCCACCCACGCTTCCTTCGCCGTCTTCGCCGCTCGAATCACGCCAAACTGATTTTCCTTCAGCATTAGCAGAATCGTTGCACGGGCCTTTTCATCGCCTTCTACCCACGCCACCGAGACACCCGCCGCCGCTTGTTGTAGGTTGTTCTTGTTGTAGGTCCACAAACCTTCCCGGATCAGCAGCGCTTCGGTGCGAAGCTTCCATGCTTCATAATTTGCTTTGTTCAGCTTCGTAGAATTCTTCAGATCCATCCTATCGCAGGAATTGTTATGTTTGAAAAATTTCAGTTTTTGCTCCGATCAACGAGCATACGAGGCAATATGAGCACCCTAGTAAAAGTTAACGTTTTGACAGGTTTTCACTAGAAAATAACATTCAGGAATCATGTGTAATAGAAACATAAGTTCTTTTAGCAACAGTTACGTGTATTGCTCGCTGTAGAATCAGCAGATCAGTAAAATGTAATATAGTGAATGCAATGCTTGTTTTCTTGACTGCATATCTTATAATATTCTAGAGATTTTGAGCTAATGTTACATTTCCATTATTATCTTAGACATGTAATTGAATTTTGATACGGTTTTCATGGAGATGCATATTAGAAGCATTTTCAACAAGTTTGTAAAAAAATTAGATTTAGTTATTAGGTATTATGCCCAACCGAAAGGTGGCCCATCTCACCCCATATGGTCTTCTTGCCCCCATCCCCCCTACCGCAGTTTGGTGAGATTTTCAGCTGGTGAGTTTTGTTAGCTTGATGTTCCGAGCTGCGATATCACAGCTTGCAATATCGACCGCAGTTTGCTTGTTGATTTTTGCATACGAAAATCGAACGTGATCTTGATCTTTGGGGAGATTTGATTTTTTTTTTATATTTGACCCCGTATATGGCCTATATTTTGCAGCACTGGTTCCAGCCACCAGACTTCTCAGATACCACCAGGGAATTGGCAAGAATATGTCTATAACCAAAACCCTCTTCATACGACAAGTTAAATGACAATAGTGGTCATATGAAAACGGTCGTTCCAGAGAATTATAATTTCATATTCAGATCCCGCGACCTAAAATACCAATTCCAGCGCCGCCGAACAAGAGCAGAAATAAAATTTACTCATTTAAGGCTATGATGTTGAAGAACGAAAAAAGGAGAAATCGAACTAAAGTTCTCATTGCTTTTGAGGAATTTTGAAGCTGTGGAAATTAATATTTAAACAAATCCAATACCTCGCTATCGCGCATCTCCATAGAATAAACCTCGTGGACAGCAACATTTGTCGGTGTGGAAACGGTTACGATGACATCGATCACGCAATTTGGTAATAGACGGATAATGACGTCGCCAGAGAGCGACTTTTGGCCCAAGAAAGACAAATCCCTATCAGAGACGTGTTGGGAACTCGCGATCTCTGCTATATGCAGTCGATTTATGTGTTTCTGCACATGTCTAGTATAAGAACTTAATTCCTTGTCTTTTGTGTCTCTTGATTAGTTTTTTTGTTTTTCATTTCCCCTTGTCTCATCGTCGCCTACTGGTCACCACCGGTCGAACTCCAGACGAATCTAGAACCGCACTACCGTTCATACTTGTGATAACTAATGGTGCGGAGGTGCGCCCAAGTTCCTGCCCTGATCCTATCCTTCGACAATGTACCCTTCTAACCTCGGGTAAGCCGCGAGTATTCGGCCTAATCTCTACTGGACATAGAAATAAGTGATTTTTTTTTACAATCAATGAACATTGAATTATCGGCTCCGTAAAGCTAACGCGATTGAGCCTTCCAAATAAACGAACAAGATAAAAAAAAATACCTCGCTATCGATAAATAACGCCTAGTAACTTCTGGCAGCACTGATTAAGTTATGAAAGGAGAATCAACACAGCGACAAGTGAAAAATGAAATGATTCATCAATCTTTCGATGTTGAAAAATAATTACTCATGTTTAGCGTAAGAACATTCTTGTTTTTTCTAGATCAAGGGTCCCCTTCCCTGCACGGGTAATCTCTCGACATTTGCCAACATTGTTTATCTTCTTTGCTGATCCGGCCTTGTCGAAATTACGTTTTGGATATTCGTTCAATATCGTACACCACCAAAAATTTTCCCAACACAAAAACACAGCTGTTCGTCATTTTTGGAAGTGGATCAGTAATTTACACATTCCCCTTGCTTGTTATTGGGAACAAATTTGAGGCGTAAATGACGGCATTATCAGCTGAAGGAACGCTCTCTTTGTTCTTCCTTCAGATATCGCTCATACGGGCGGAAGCCATGTTAAAGTTGCTGCTCTTTTGCAAAAAAAATGTATAAAGGTAATTAGATGAATAATTGTGCGAAAATTTGCTCCTGGACTAATATTCCCTGACTAATTAGCATAAGAAAAGCATTTGAAACGATTGTCTAAGCAGCTTTCCAACCCGAACTACAAAGATAAGAGTGGCGACGAACTTAAACGCTAGGTTACACAATATTTATACAAAATAGATGGCCACTTCAAGGTACTACTCACCACTGCATATCACCAATCCGGCCACTAGCAGGAGCACACAGGTTTGCAACGCCTTCATCTTGTTTTCTAGCTTTGTGTTCTCACTTATTCCAAACTTTAGCCACCAATAATAATGAAGAGGAAACGAGTTTCCAGTCGGATGATTTCACCAAGAATAATTCACAGTAGATAGAGATCACAGGCAGCCAATAAGGTTTCCGTTCTTTTCACTTTTGTACTGAATCCGCGAAGCACACAGCACCAACGGATTATGGAAAGATGAGCGGAGAAGTTTCGACACCGTTTACCTACCGCGAACTGCGACTGATTGATAAATAATACAGAGTAGTCTTGCTGTCTTGCTGTGAGCTCGCAATCGCAAATAAAATTCTATCAAACTGATTGTCATACCACCAGTGTTGCCAAGTTTTCCTAGATGTTTATGTATGTTTTGAACTTCACAATATTCAATTCCATAATCCATTATTGTAAAAACTTCCATAACTCAATAAGGTTTAACAATTTGTTTATAATATATAGGTAAATGTATATTTCTATTCGACAATCTGTATCTTCTTTTTTTACAGATATACAGTAAACAAATTGTTATATCGATCAACGTAATTCAAGCTGATGTATCATACATAAACTCCAAATACGTTGATCGATATTACAGCGCTTGATTGGTTGATGTGATTGCAAAAATCAGATACAATTACATCGATGCATGCAAAAACTGGTGTACATAATGAAATATAATATTACACAACTTGGTTGCAGCAGTTACAGTTACGCACGCACACTTAATCCCATTTTCCAGTCGAAAGTTTGTTGTCCTCACTTTCGGCTCCAGGTATCCCGTAAAAAAAATCCAATAAAAATACAATGATTTTCATTGCCATTGTAACCATGATATTTATTTTCACAGCATTGGGCAATTTTTTTCGTTTACCATAAAATCACAACGAAATTTATGATTCACAACAATGAAAATCATGGTATTTGATACATTTACGGTAAAAATGAGGGTTGTTTAGCATCTTAACAATTAAAAAACTGATTTTTCTAGAATAAATTTGATCTAATCACATTAATTTTCATTGCATCGTTTAAAAAAAAAAATATTTTTTTCTCCCGTACAACAATTTAACATTAAATTTAAATCGAGATTTAAATGTACTCGAAATTCAACAGTAAAAAATATTGAAATTTCGTAATTTTATTATAATAATTTATTTTCGGTTTTTCATTGTTATCCTCACTATCGGAATCTCGCGCACATAATGGACTATAAATCTAAAAGATCTACAAGCAAAAAAAAACATTTTTTTTAGAAGAATCTGCTTATGTGGCATCACTGCCAACCACTGGTCTCACTAACACAAACTCAACAGACTGCGGGCACTTGACAGAAATAGGTGACAGATGGGGGATGCACAAAAGTTCATCTTCGGGTGCACAACACGCTATTTCAAAACTAACCCAATTTGGGTAGAATCCATCCAGATCGGTCAAAACTGAACCTTCCCGCATAAGCGCGAACCATAAATTGACCTTACCGATAATGGTTATAAATTGTTTATAATCCCTGCTAAACTTCAACTGAAATGGTTATGGAACTTTACATTAACGTTTAATGATAAAGTTTTAACCTTAAGTATTATAGTTTTTTAGAAGTGGACCTTACAAATAATGGGTTGTTAAGAACCATTACCATTCAAAATTCTTGTTTTCTCCATACATTTTCGGAAAGAAAACTATACTAAAACCTTTTAACTTATGGTTTGAGAACATTAATGGTAATGGTTATGGTAACCAGTAAGGTCCATGAATGGTTTTGTAACATCAATCAACTTTATGTGGAATATATCGCGAATTGGTTGCCTGTAAATTACTGATTACCAATTCACGATATATTTCACGTAAAGTTGAGTGATAATACAAAACCATTAATGGACCTTACTGACTACCATAACCATAACCATTAATGTTCTCAAACCATAAGTAAAAACGTTCTAATATAGTTCTCTTTCCGAAAATGTATGGAGAAAACAAGAATTTGGAATGGTAATGGTTCTTAACAACCCATTATTTGTAAGGTCCGCTTCCAAAAAACCATAACACATAAGGTTAAAACTTTATCACACAAACGTTCATGTAAAGTTGCATAACCATTTCAGTTGAAGTTAAGCAGGGATTATAAACAATTTATAACCATTATCGGTAAGGTCATGTGATGGTTCGCGTTTATGCGGGTTCCCTAAGATGGTTAAACCACAAACGAAGTGACAGACGGAGCGGCTCGTAATTTGATTTGACGCACTTACATTTGAAATTTTCGAGTGTACCTCACGGCAACACTATCTACTCATACGTACTAGCTTAAAAGTAGTTGATGCTATTGGGGTACCGCCTGTTATCTCTTTTTCTCTAACGAAAATTGAAAGGGAGAGCCTGTTGTCAAACAGCATGTCATTGTGCATTTTCGTTGTTATCTGCACTTCTTTTGGGGGTGAACACTTCAGGTAAACATTTGCTTACAAGTAAACGATGTTGAATTATCAATGACTCACGCTTATCGTCAGCAATTGTTGGTACAGATTTCATCAGTCCGTGCTTCTAACCAAAGCCATACACGGTAGCCGCAAAATACCCAATAATGACTAAAAAGTAAACATCAGGCATAACATTTGATAACGGCACAAAAGCATTTGTAAACAAACTTTCTAAGGCCCTTTACACGCGAACCAATGTACGCCCACGCAAACCAACAACATCATCGGATAGGGGCAACTATCATCGTTCCGAAAGTGGTATTGGTTTGCGTGTGCGTACTTTGGTTCGCGTGTAAAGGGCCTTAGAAAGTTTATTTACAAATGCTTTTGTGCCGTTATCAAATCAGTGCCAACATTTCAAAGGGGCGTAATTGCATTTGTAAACAATAGCTTTTTCCGTCGATTTCTCGCGAATAAAAGCTCACTCATGAAAAATAATGACACCACCAGGTAGAGGAATGTTTCCTTTACCAGCTAGCATTGTAATTTTGGAGAGGTAAGATTTCATTCGCGAGAAATTGACGGCTAAAGTCATTGTTTACAAAAGCAATTACGCCCCTTTGAAATGTTGGCACAGAAATGTTATGCCTGACATGTTCGAGGGAAACTGGAACTACTCATTTAAGAGTAATTACAACTACAAAAATAAGTAGTAAGTATTCATTTGTGAGTATCAAATCAAGAGCAAATTTTCATTACGTCGAATGTAACAAAGGTAAACAAAGTCGAGCTATCAGTGTCAATCGATTCTCCTGCTATTACACTATATACTGTCCGAATATAGGATGAAATCCCATTTTTTAATTTATTTACCAGTCAAATTGCTTTTTGACGTAATCACCTTCCGATCAAAATAGTTTTCGATGTTACTTAAGTCACTCAATTTCTATGGAGATGCCGTTTGACTTAAGTAACAGCGCTGAGAAACCCGTGAAAAGTGTACGTTCGTCGTTTCGCTTTCTCATTATTAAAGTGAATAAATCGAACTGTTTGTTGCTAAGATGATTTCGGTGGTCCTAAAATGATGAATGGGCTGCACGTAAGGAGACGTAATTGATAATTCTCCCGAATATCCTGGTAAATACACTTTGACTTAAGTAACAATAGGGGCCACCAAACGACGTATAATAACTTTTGACTCAAAAACCAGTATTTTTTAGCATGAAAGCTAGCGATTTGCATTTGTATGATTAAAACCCTGCTAAATATGCTAAACATTGCTATCACTATGAGATTATATGTGTTTACTTGGAAATAGGAATAACTTTTCGGTCATCAAAACAAAATTTTATTTTTCTCGGATTGGTGCGAATGTTACTTACGACATAATGAAAATTTGCTCTTGAAATACTCATAAATGGGTATCTTTTTTACTCATTTAATGTGTAGTCCCAGTCTCCCTCGAAAATGCTTACTTTGTAGTCATTATTGGGTATTTTGCGGTTACTGTGTAGTCATCGATGACCAAGAAGACATCGTTGTTGGACGCCACGCCAAACAGGACTCGGCCATTGGAAGATTGCCGTAAAAGCTCAACGCAGATGTCGCCACTGCATGATGATGATAATGTTGACAGACTGCATATAAAATTCGTGAAAATTAGCGTTAAATCATAATTTTCATCAAGCCTGTGTAAAATTCTTCCAATATAACATTCGAATTGCAGAAGAAAACGTTTTTACGATCAGACTGATGTGCAACTTTGACTTTTCCAGTTGAACTTTCATAAGATATATTCATTTCATTTCGCGGCTCTAACAATGCTGCATCGTAAATATGATGTAAACAGAAGTAAATTGCTCAATTACTCAAAATAGAGATGATTTGTCATCTTGCTATCACTTTGAAGACCATCTAGCACCATTTTATAGTATGGTGCGTGTTGAGTAAAGCAAGTTCCGTTGCGTTTTCCGTCGAAAATTGTGAGCATCAATATGTTTGCTAACAAAAGGCCAAAATGAACATTTATTGAATATTGGCGTTCTATACAACCAATCTCCATTACCATCAGCATGATACAACCACAGACAAACAGACATAACACATTGAATTTTTCTCATTGTAAAACATCGTCGCTAAAACATTACCGCCATCTGTTGAGCACACTGCGGTGGGTAGTACAATGAACAGATGGCGGTAGTGTGTAAACGTCAAACGCAATGGAATTGACTATGCGCGCCACAGGTGGCGGTACTACCAACTGCGATACTTTTAAATTAACCGTTAAATGCTTGTTCGATGAACAACTTGCTAGTGTTATGTCTGTTTGTCTGTGATACAACCTTTCCTAAGTAAATTCACTTAATTTCCACTTTCATCCTAGTGGAAATCGCACATATTCACCATTTTCCGAAAAATGCCGCTGCGCAGGAGGTAACCTCTCCCTGTGGGTGCAAACTTGTTATGCATAATTTTCCATGAAAACATCTCCGATCCATACCGAAATAATAACAATTAGTTTGCAAACACATTTTCTTACACGATTCAAGCAAAAGTTTCCACGGGAAATTACTAGGTTTTCTTTATGTACCAATTTGCCCCAAAAATCGTCTGTTTTACTTGAAGAATTTGGAAACTATCCTCCTTCTAGTAGTTCTCACTTCGAAATGTAGGTGGCGAAAGCATGGAAAAGTTTCACTGCAAGACGCCAATTGGCGTTGGCGGCACCGTCGAAAAATTTGCTCTTTCAGTAAATATAGACAGTTTCTTATGGGAATTTTCGGTGGAGTGAAAGGATAGTACAAAGTCCGCCATGTTTCACGCACAGTCTGACGTTTGCTTATGGATTTTCTCATAGGAGTAAAGAG